TCTGACTGACAGGAAGCTGAACATGAGCCAGCAGTGTGTGCCTAGGTAGCCAAGAAGGCCAATGGCATCCTGGCCTGTACCAGGAACAGTGTGGCCAGCAGGAGCGGGGAAGAGATTCTTCCCCTGCACTCAACACTGGTGAGGCCACACCTTGAGTACTGTGTCCAGTTCTGGGCCCCTCAGTTCAGGCAGGATATTGAGGTGCTGGAGCAGGTCCAGAGAAGACCAATAAGGCTGGTGAAGGGACTGGAGCACAAGCCCTCTGAGGAGTGGCTGAGGGAGCTGGTTTTGTTTAGCCTGGAGAAGAGGAGGCTCAGAGGAGACCTCATCACTCTCTACAACTACCTGAAAGGAGGTTGTAGCCGGGTGGGTATCAGTCACTTCTCCCAGGCAACCAGAAGTAGGACAAGCAGGCACAGTCTAAAGCTGTGCCAGGGGAGGTTTGGGTCAGACATGAGAAAGAAGTTCTTGACAGAGAAATTGATTGGGCATTGGAATGGGCTTTCCAGGTAGGTGGTAGAGTCACTGTCCCTGGAGGGATTTAACAAGAGTCTGGATGTGGCACTTGGTACCATGGTCAAAAGTTAGACTCAATGATCTCAGATGTCTGTTCCAGCCTAGTTGATTCAGGAAGGAACTGCTCCCTGGTCCCCAAACCCGGTCCCTGGGCTCAGCCCTGTGATGCTGTGTGGCCCAGTTCCCTTCCTGCCCATGCTCCAACCAACCTCAGGCACAACTGCCTTCAGAGCCTTGGCAGGGGCTGCCCTGGGCATGTCTTTGCAGGGATCCTCTTGCAGCCAGGCCCAGTGCAGGAGGCAAAGGCACCAAGCAGGAAAGCATCTCATATCTTCCCCAACACTTTCTCCTTGCAGCAAAGAGCAGGAGGAAAATAGGGAAGCATGGAGGGTATTCACAACCTTAATTTGGGCACCTTTGTCTCCCCTGGGAGAGGATCTCAGGGAAAGTTAGGCAAGGGAACACATCTCTATGGGGACTGCAGAGATCTGTTGGACTTGGTTACTCCAATCTGTACCCAGAAGTTTCTGTCTGATGGTTTTTCTCCTTACCTGGAGTTTTTGAGGTTGTTGGCACAGTTGTTGATTCTTCTCCGTCTGAGGCAGCAGTGGTTTCTGATGAAGGGAAAAGAAGAGAGTTTGCAGCACTGGGGAACTCTGTGCATTCAGGACAACTTAGGAGGCAGATACCTGCAAGAGGTCCTGTCTGGGGCTGAACAGCTAGAACTCTGGGTAGCCTTACCTTGCCTTTGGGCTTTCCCCTGGCCTCATGCATCATTGTGTTACTTTTTCTCTCACAGTCATTTCCTCTGACCCTGCCATTGGAATCCTTATTACCAATCGCAGGTTTAAACTCTCCCTGCCTTTCTCCTCTACGTGAGTTGTAGGCACACACATTTCTCCCTGCAGTGCAGACTGTCAGAGCGAAGTCTGGGGCATCCTATTCACTAGGAAGTGACCCCTGGGCTGAGCACTACTGGAGCACCATTGAAAACTCTCTGTAGACTCTTTCAGAGCAGTGGAAGGATGACTGCCTTTGCTAGCACCTGCTCTTGTGCAAATTTATGTGGACACTGAAAGCAGACGATTTCTGTTCAACGAATGCTTGTTCTGCTACATTATCATCAGTGGTATCAAGACCCTTTTTCCTGAATCACAATTCCATGCAGTTATGACAGTATTCATTATTTTTTGTCTTTTCCTTCCTTTTATAATTCTTTCTGAATAAAGAGAAACCTGGCTGATACCAGACAATAGGTAAAAAAATTTCCTCACACTTTGGTTTCAGCATTCTGTCATTGTGTTTACTCTTCCAAAGTATTTCAGATACTTATTTTAAAGTTTGTTTGTTTGTTTTTAATTTATTTAAACTGTATAATTCTCAACTCTTGATATAAATGTGTTGGGGGTTTGAGGTTTTGGTGGTTTTTTTTGGTTGGTCGGTTGGTTGGTTGGTTTGGTTTGGGGTGTTCTTCTTAGAAGTAAGGAAAACAAATAATAAACCAGCCTTAGTGATAAATGTGTGATACTTACAAATGGCCAGTTAGGATCATATGATCTAACTTTAATATGAATTTGTTAATATATTTTATGAATAAACTTATTTACTCTGAGTTATGCTACTGCAATCATAATTTAATCTAAAACACTAATAGCATGCAGCTGGGGGACTAATGTATTTGTGGCTAAAATCTGTGTCACTATCACACTCTTCAAGCTGATATATTAAAAAATATTGCAAATCTCAGTAGACATTTGAAAAATAGGCCCCACTTTTCTGGAGCTTTGTAGTGCTTTGAAAATCCAAAGTGAGGAAAATCTTTTAAACCTTTTTCTCCTAGTCAATAAAGCTCATGTAGAAAAGACAAGTAATCCATTTGTCTCCTCTACATGAAGGGAAAACATGAGCAATTGTACCAGTTCTCTGCCAATGCTTCTGCCTCCACTGGTCACTGAGTTCTATATACAGCATTATGTGTTCCCAGTCAATGTAAAGAAATATACTTTTTCCTATAACCATGTCACAAGTATTGAGGCCATGTTACTGAGAACGCAGCTGCGATGGGCAGGGCACGTCTCAAGGATGAAGGACCACCGCCTCCCTAAGATCCTGCTCTATGGTGAACTTGCCACTGGCTGCCGCATGAGAGGAGCCCCGAAGAAAAGATACAAGGACTCCCTGAAACAACATCTCAGCTTTGGCCATATTGATCACCATAACTGGTCTACTCTGGCCTCAAATCGGGAGGCCTGGAGGCACACCATCTATAACGCAGCTGTCTCCTTCGAGAACACACGCAGGATCACTCTCGAGGAAAAAAGGCAACGCAGAAAGAACCGTAAATTGCAGAATACACCATCTAAGGAGTCTTTCTGCTGTGCCTTTTGCAATCGGATATGTCTGTCACGTATTGGCCTCATAAGCCACCAGCGTGCCTGTAGCAAATGTGGATAGAGCCTTCCCAAATCTTCGTTCCCGAAGCCTAGCCATGATGATGATGATGATGATGATATAGTATGAATCTATGTTGGCCACAAGCCATGAATGTAGGGGCAATAACCCCTTACACAACTAGCCATTTTTTTACAATGACTGTTAGCCTCAAAAGGCTCTGGCTAACAGTTGCCCAGGAGTACCCTTTGGACTCAGGAAGAACAGCATCTGTGGTGACAGCAGAGCACATGAGCTACAATTGAACCTTTCTGATGAACTTGTCAAAGGTAACCTGAGCAAAGATGGCTAATTTATGGCTCTGTGTGCCTAGACCTAACTTTCTATGTAATGAAACAGGATATGTTAATGGACTTAAGCATTTACTGCGGCAATAAAGAAATGGATGTTAGGACCAAGGTTATGGAACAGCAGAGACATCTGGCTGCTGAGCAGGGCAGGGCCGTTGCCAGTACTATTCAAATGGACACATCCTGCAAGGCTTTTAACAATGTTTGCTTAGAAAGAAAAAAGTTTCTGGGCTAACCCATTCTGATGCAAAGTCTGTTGAAGAAAGTGAAATACATTGCTTTCAGTAACTCTTGGGTTAAGATTTTTCACATCTTGCTGTTACCTACAAGCCTCCAAACAGAAAACCAACCAACAGTCCTGAAGACTCCTATGTTCATGATTTATAGCTGAAAATTGCTCTGTAGCATATTGTAGATGCTGCTGGAAATACATATGTTCACTCACAGTAGTCAACAGAGCCCCACAACCATCTGTCACCAATTGCAAGCTTAACAGGTCTTAATTTGTCTCATATCTCTGTAATTTTATCTTTGTATTACCTGGGAATTCCTGTCCTCTCACAGCTTCAAGTTGCCACAAAACTCTTCATATAGTTGCTTTAATTCTGCTCCTGCTGATGCCTTCACCCTCTCATATCTGAGTATCAGGGAAAGGCAAGTTTGGGCGGAGGCTCTGACCCACAACAACCAAGTTTGTCACAATGCCGGAAAAAGTAGTAAGTGGCTTAAGAAATGATACCTGCCCTTTAGTTTGAACAGACCACGATACAAGCCTTTTGCAAGCTAGTGGTGATGTTTCCATTAATTTATTACAACAGGAGGGAACGAAAGCTCTGCAAGCCAGTGCCAGGTGGCACTGCTTTCCAGTCAAGGAGCCTCTGGCCGGAAGGGCACTGGGGTGGAATAGTTGCACCTTTTGTTATGAGTGTAACAGAGCTTGAATTACCTGGGTTTAGTGTGGAAGTCCTGCAAACTGCTCTTGGAATAGGCTAAATTAGGTTAATCACAGGCACCAGTGATTTTGAATTGTTCTGTGAACAAGGAAAACTGTTGGCTTGCAGTGACATCTTTCATCATTAATTAATCAAAATCTAGACATGCTGAATTGTGTATCACCACTGACTTCTCAGCGGCTGCTGAAAGTACTAAGCAATCCATTCACTGCCACACAATAGTTGCTCTCATAAATCCCAAAACAGAAGATAGTGTTTCTTACCTTTCAAAAGGCCCAACACCAGGCTGAGCAACACAGCGAGGAATACACGGCGTCTCATTGCTGCTTCTGTTGCTGCTGCTACTTGCTGCTAAACCTTAGAGAAAGTGCTTTTCTCCTCTGGCGTCAGCTCATTTAAGGTCCCAGCCACAGGTAGAAAGTTCAGCCCTGAGCTGACGTCATGGTGGCAAGTGGCAAATGATAGATTCAAGCTGTGTTGTATTTCCTCTTCAGGCTGGGAGGAGATTTCTGGACTGGCAGCGTTCTTCCTTTAAGTCATAAATATCTGACACAAGGAAGTTACCACTAAATAAGCTGACATGGGAACTGACAGCACACCAGCTATCCCCTGCTAGTTTTCTATACCAACACCTTCAGTGCAAATTAATGGAGGGTGCCATATAACCTGTTCTTAAAGTGGAAGAGGTGACCCCATCCCAAGGCATGCTTATTATGCACTTGGAAAATAGTACCTGGGATCCACATGCTCACTTCTCTTGCAATAAATTACCAGCACAGACAAGCTCCATGCCTCAAACTCTGATTATTTCTTTCTTATAAGCAAAATCCTATGCCAAAGCACTTCTTACTGCTTAACAAGGAAAAAAGAAACAGAAAACACCTGCACCTTTGACATCAAAGAAGCAGGACTGACCTTGGCTTTTCTGGTAGTGATTATGGCTGTTTTGTTTGCTGTCATTGTATGCGTGTTGTGGGCTCGCTAAAGTGGTGGGCCAAGAGAAGGAGGAGCAGGCAGCACAGCCAGCAGATGTTTGTGTTCAAGTGGCAGCATTCCTTTCTTGAGAGGAAGTGTTCTCCTGCTGGGTTGACATTTTTAAGTAGGGATGGTCAGGCTGGAGCAGGAAGCCTATAGCAGATCTAGAAATGACAAATAACCCAGAAGGCCATGAAGCGGGTAACACAGCTGTGATGCAGGGAAAATAGGTTGGAGACTGAGACTTCTTGACATTGCATGCCAGGAAGCCTCTGAAAATTGCCAGATAGAGACCAAGATGGGAAAAAAAGGTCTCTTTGGGGAGGATTTGGTTTTCCCAAACTCTCTTATTTTTAGCTGCCTCCTCTGCCTAAGTTCTCCAGCTGAACAGTACCTTTGTTCTGCTTTGTGCTCCAGTAAAATGCATTGCTTGAGACCATTAGAAATCAGATGGGCCACAGTGGTTTCCAGTTCCTCCTTTTCAGGCAAAGGTGTAATTTTTCTCACTTTGAAGGTCTGGGTGATCCTGTATCCTGCCACAACTGCCAGTAAAGTCTTTCTGTGAAGTAAACACAGATTATCCCATCATTATCAGACACAGACAAGAAGGATGAGCAACCTGTTGGTTATCCCCTGCAAAGCCATGTCTAATGGCTATGTAGCTGGTCTCTGGCAAACTCAGCTGCCAGAAACACTGGCAGGTTATAAACACACTCCTGAATTCCAGGTAACAGCTCTGTGTGTTAAACAGCTCTCCCTTCATCTGCTTTTGTTTGATCTTCTGTTTTAAGAACAAGAAATGAAGTCTCAGGTACTAATCTCCTATATTGAAGGGGTGGCTCTCCTTGTATGTAGGAGGGTGGGAGAGACCAGAAGTATTACGCAAGTAATTTCTCAGCTTAGGGTTGTCCTAAAATTTTACCTTGCACTGAACCAGGAAACACTGTTGGCTTCCAGGCAGTAAAAACAGTGGTATGCCTCTTGCTGGCACGGGGAGTGAACTGCCTCATCCCTCTTCACTCTGCCACGTGAACCTGCTCAGGGTGTGGAGCCTGAAATGTGGGATGATTTGTCTGCATCCTCCTTTGCTCCTCTGTCCCCGAAGCCCCTCCAGTGCAGCCTGCTCCCCACTCCTACTCCTAATCTCCACAGTGATACCCTGCCAGCACCTACCCTTCCTATGGCAGGCTGGGACAGGACCCCAGATCCCTCAGGAGCTGGTGCTGAGGGGGATGTGCTGGGTTGGAAGCAGCCCACGCTTGCTGTCAGGGAGCTGCGGGGCTGAGGGCACTGGGGGTACCAGGAGCAGCCGGGGCCCATTGCACTGCCCCCAGCTGGGAAGCAGGGCTGTCCTGCCAGGATGGCCGGGGCAGAGCCAGTCCTGAGCCATTATGGGGGTCCCTCAGCCCCCCTCCCACTCTGGCTGCCTCTCCAGGCCATGCTGGATTCAGCTCCTGCCCCTGCTGCTACTCCCTCCCATACCAGTCGCCCAATCAGTTCCTCCAGGCCCCTCCTTAAGACTCCGCTTTGCCAAGGAGCTGACAGAAAAAGGGGAGGAAATGGCTGGGAAGTGTTTGTCCCCTGTGCGCTGTGCTTCCCTGCTTGATCAGCGTCCAGCCTCCACCCCAGGCCACCACCTCCCTCTCAGATTCAGGGGCATCCAAAGGGGACATCCAAAAACTAATCCCAAAGTCTCATTAGAACAACACATTTCAGTGCTGTGATCCCCTCAGACATCAGCCATCCGAGGGAGCTGCAGCACGTGCTTCAGGTGGAAATGGGTGTGCAGAGGGAACAAACCTGACTGTGGAGGGTGTTTGGCAGAGCTGTATGCCACCCATCATCCAGGGATGTCCATGTCCCAGATCTAGACTCTTCAGTCATTGCAATACATTCAGATTCTCCAGTGCTGCCTCGAGGTGTAGCTAGACTAACCCGGGTCTTGAAATCTTCCCGTTAGCTGTGAAGTGAGTGTGTAGGACCAAGAGAACTTCTCAGGGCACTATTGAAAATGAAGGTCAGGTCTTCAGCAGTGTAAATGGTGCAGCTTTGCTGCCTATATAGTGTCTAAAGGTTGAGCATGCAGTCTACACATTAAAACTGTTCTCTACAGTAAATGTGCACCAGGAGCAGGTGTATTACCTGTATTTTTAGACTTTTTTTCTATTCCTACCTGATTGTTTATACCTATTACGATCGCAGTTTTGGCAGAGTGAATCATTTGCAATGCAAAAGGCACCAGTTCCTCCAGGAAATAATGCGCTGAACAGACACACATCTTCACATACCAAAATTTTCGTCTCTACTTGCCTTTCCCTGTCCATTTTGTGACACACCAGTGGTCACAACAGGGCCTCTCCAGGAAGAAGGGGAGTGACAGGCTGTATGTGCCCCATTGCTTGCCGATTTGTGGGGGAATTAGTAATAGAGATTTGGTGGTTTAGGAGAACAGATGCAGAGAATTGCCAAAACAGGAGAACTGATGTCAGTGAAACATCAGCAGGTACAGTTACTAACGAAGTCATTAGGCACACATTTAGACAATAGATAGTTGACTGCTAGTGCAGACAAATTCAACAGCCACAGCAGTTGTGGTGTCCTGCAAGGAATTATGGAGAAAACCTTCTTTGAAGAAATAACTAAATAACTTTCCAGAAGTTGTAAAAACAAATTGGTGTGTCAAAGCTCAGATATAACAGTCAAGAACCTGAAAAATTATTATAGAATAGAAACTATGCTACGTTTAGTAACAAACACAGTAGTTGCTCTTGCTTGTTTATGCCAGCAAAAAGAAGTATCAGAGGTAAAAGGCCTTATTATCTATTAGAAAGTTCAGAGTCCTGTGCAACCTCATTATATAAGTTGCATGTAATCAAGGGGCAATCATGCTACCAGAAGATATACAATAAAGTAGGAACAAGTAAGTGTCTTTTACAGCTCTTCATGTGTGTCATCTTGATACTTTCTTCCCACATATTTTTCAGTCCTATTCCTTACCAGATTCTCTACATTTTGCTATCTCATGTAAATTTGGTTCATCCACTATATATTATATACACAAGCAGAAATGTATGTTGTAATTAGCTAAAAGTAAAAAAAAAACCCTTCAGAAAGTCTAAATCAAAGTGCTATACATACAGATTCATGCATAATCAGGGGAAGCAGATGCACTTTGACTTCTTTTCAGGTGGTTCCCAAGATGGCTGAAGGCACACACAATGGGTGCATTCAGTGGTCTCAGAGGCACTGGTATGCAAATCTGAAGTGGGCATGACTGTTAAATCATGTGCTTGTCCATAACTCCAAAGATCTTTTACCTAGTCCCATGGCAATGTTGTGACCCATCCTTTCTCACTGTTAATTTCCTTAAAAGTTACCAATGTCACATAGAAAGTAGAATAACTTACAAGAGTCTCGGTAACAAAACTGAGGCACAGCTAACAGTCCTTCTCTTGCAAATGAACAGAACCGCAGAGTTCATCATATTTCTCTCCCCTTTATTTTCCCACCAGAGTCTTACTAGACAAGGAGCAGGCATAAAACACAATTCTGTACTGTATCACAATAGAAAGTAGACAGAAGTTTCAGGATGTAGCAGGAAGTATGTCTTACACTCTGCATTGCTCTGCGAGTAGCACCCACTTCACCTGAGGCAGTTGTCTGGTGCGGGGTCTTGGGTCAAGAGTGAGGGATATCTTACCATGGGGTGAGCTGCTCTCTGGGGATGCTTGTTTCTTTTCATGACTACTGGAGGAGCCAGATGGTGGGTTCAAACTGGCCACCTAATTTTTGATAGGACAGATGAATCCCACCTTAGTCCCATCTGATTGCTATCGCAGTCATGTTGTACTGGTCTGGAGCAATACAGGAAAAAATTGACCCAGCTGAACATACCTGCCATTGCTCCAAATGCTCTTCCACATCACGCTTTTTCCCAGTAGCCTTCATGTTCATCTGGATTCAAGGTGCCCTCCTTCTTCCTCTGAGGGACACTCAGCTGCATATCCTTCACAGTCCCCAGCAGCACTTACTGAGACAGGAGTGATCTCACTGTGGTCAGGTCCAGTCCCTTGCCCTTGCAAACAGCCCTGCTGCACCTGCGTCTCCTGAGGTTGTCCTCCCTTTCAACATGCACTCACACACATAAACACACAACTTCACCAATTCCAGTAGGATGAAAAATTAAACTGATGAAAAATTAAAATTAGACTGAGTTGCTCAGTGCTACCAAAAAAAAAATGTATCAGAACACAACTTGTATTTCAGTGGAGCAGAAGTTTGTTTGGCACAACGAACAGAACATACTCATTTCCTCACTGCTTTTCAGTTTAGTTATTCAATCGGGAGGCACCATACAAAGAACAAAAGAACTATACAATTTCTTATTTTTGGGATTAGATTT